TGGCTACAGCCCCGTGCAGGAGGCAACTAAGGTCCAGGCCCCACGTAAGTGATGTTGCGAGGACAGCCTCTCTGTTGACCAAAACAAACCATGACTTCCCCATTCGTAACCATCTTTTTCCGTTCGAGCATGATCTCATAATGGTCGTTAGTGCTGCATACTGGAGTGCGCCCTCAGGTGTTGCTTCCTTCAGCACGACACACAACAGTAAATGGGAATTAGAGAATACACGTGCCAACCTTAGAATCGCATGTGCCCACCCTTTTGACGCTTGTCCTCCCCCTGCTTCCATATCCCAGTAGGCATCATATTCCTCAYCCTCCTCGTCGCTGCTCACATCGCTGCCACTCACTTCCACCTCATTGTTAGGCGCCCTCGCAACTTTTTCATTGTTGATCACTCTTATTTCTTCAATCTCATATTCAAAATCGATCGGTAAAGAAGAGTCTTCGAACCCTCGTTCCCGTTGTTGTTCTGTCATTGTCCAGTCATTGAACTCATCTTCTTCTTCTACCTCCTCCTTCGACATTGTGTTTATTGGAGAATGCACAATGGAGGCTGTTCTCACAATTTTTTCCCCTGCTGAAGCATGTCCATCTGCTGCATGAAGTGCAACATCTGCTTTCCTGGCCACCAACTTCCATCCTTCTTCCCTTGACCTATTTCTATCCACCTCAGAAGTCGCAATGCTGAGGCGATGCAAAGCTGCCATGAACATTTCATCCCACAATGGAGTACCACATACGACATCATCGTCCACACGCCGCACCCTGTACGTAATGAGGTCCTTGTCCGTCAGTGCTTGCTCTGTCACATCATGCAATGCCTCATGTATGACATTGCGATCGTCAGGTTTCTTTTTCATGAAATCCATCAGTTGGTCGAGTAAAACATACTCCATCCCGTTTGCAATAATTACTGGAAGTTCTTGGACGTCTTGCGGGGGAGCTTGCAGTATGTCCTTCAAACTCGAGAGTACTAAAATTTCTGCTGCACCGCTCTTCATCTCGTCCTTAGAACCTTCAACAAGCATTCCCAATTTCTTCGCCTGTGTCATCAACATCTGCTTGAAATCGGTTGGCATGTATGTTCCACCCTTCTGCTGCTTTGTCATATCCACGTCGCCTTCATCGGACATCGCTTCTGTGCACATCTAACCAACCACTTTTCTCAAACTGTATCCACTGCTATCAGCAGTGTTGTCTACACACAAACCATGCGCCTCAGTCAACTGTGCCAATAGCATCCATGCTCTGAGTGACTCCTCTCCGTTCGCAGCGATGCTTGCACGAATGTTCACTCTGACATCGAAGTAACTCGGCACTCTCTCCGTGAGTAGTCGGAGCTCCCCGTCTCCTTCGTAGTGGATGCCCTCCTCCGCGTGTTGCATCACCTCTTTAAGAGTTGTCCTCGCCTGCGCCGCTGACATCGACATGATGGTTGTGCTTTTGTCTATGTGTCTGTAAGTAGAACGGCAAAACGATGATTTCAAGCTCCGTGAGGGTTTGTTTAATGTTGTATGTGTGTCCCTCTGCTCGAAGTATGTGGTCGTTCAACGATGTCAGTCAGTACACGGACATCATACGAGGGTTGGCTAGTGGGTGCCATTTTTTATTCGAATCATTGACATCGAAATGAATCCGGCACGCAGTAGTCAACTCCTCCGACACCCCCATTTATCACCTGCATGTGAAGCATTGTACATATCACAGGGCTAAGAACCATTCATTCATAAAGCCATGGAGGGCAGAGTACAACTTACTAAGACGGAATAGTCCTCCGCCAACATCGTGTGTGTGTGTGTGTGTGTGTGTGTGTGTGTGTGTGTGTTGTGTGTGTGTGTGAATGTGTGTGTGTGTGTGTGTCTACGTGTGTATGTGTCTACGTGTGACTGTGTGTGTCCGTCTGTGCGTGTCTGTGTGTGTGTGTGTGTTCTGTGTGTGTGTCTGGGTGTGTCTGTGTGTGTCTCTGTGTGTCTGTTTGTGTGTTTATGTGCATATGTGTGTGTGTATGTGTGCATATGTGTGTGTATGTCTGTGTATGTCCGTGTGCCTGTGTCTGTGTCTGTGTCTGTGTCCGTGTATGTGTGTGTCTGTGTCTGTATCTGTGTCAGTGTGTGTATGGGTGTATGTAAGTGTGTCTGTGTATGTCTGTGTGCCTGTGTATGTCCGTGTGTATCTCCATGTGTCATACCAACGCCATGGAATGTCTCAAACACGGGAAGTTTCACAGTCACTTCTCGTCACCACCGCAGGCGTCATCAGCGTGTTTTAGTTGGGAGTGTGCACGCTGTAGTGACAAGAAAAGAAACAGAGGGAGAGCAGGACATGGGATATAGGAGCAAGAGAGTGAGGGCAGGCTTGAGTTTCAAGGTACGCAGGAAACGATACCNTGTGCTTTTGTCTATGTGTCTGTAAGTAGAACGGCAAAACGATGATTTCAAGCTCCGTGAGGGTTTGTTTAATGTTGTATGTGTGTCCCTCTGCTTGAAGTATGCGGTCGTTCAACGATGCAAGTTAGTACACGGACATCATACGAGGGTTGGCTAGTGGGTGCCATTTTTTATTCGAATCATTGACATCGAAATGAATCCGGCACGCAATAGTCAACTCCTCCGACACCCCCATTTATGACCTTCATGTGAAGCATTGTACATATCACAGGGCCAGGAACCATTCATTCATAAAGCCATGGAGGGCAGAGTACAACTTACCTAAGACGGAATAGTCCTCCGCCAACATCGTGTGTGTGTGTGTGTGTGTGTGTGTGTGTGTGTGTGTGTGTGTTTGTGTGTATGTGTGTGTGTGTGTATGTGTGTGTGTGTCTACGTGTATATGTGTATGTGTGTGACTGTGTGTGTCTGTCTGTGTGTGTCTGTGTGTGTTCTGTGTGTGTCTGGGTGTGTCTGTGTGTCTCTGTGTGTCTGTCTGTGTGTCTGTGTGCATATGTGTGTGTGTATGTGTGCATATGTGTGTGTGTATGTCAGTGTATGTCCGTGTGCCTCTGTCTCTGTGTCTGTGTCTGTGTCTGTGTCCGTGTATGTGTGTGTCTGTGTCTGTGTCTGTGTCAGTGTGTATGGGTGTATGTAAGTGTGTTTGTGTATGTCCGTGTGCCTGTGTATGTCCGTGTGTCATACCAACGCCATGGAATGTCTCAAACATGGGAAGTTTCACAGTCACTTCCCGTCACCACCGCAGACGTCATCAGTGTGTTTTAGTTGGGAGTGTGCACGCTGTAGGGACAAGAAAAGACACAGAGGGAGAGGAGGACATGGGATATTTCAAGGTACGCAGGAAACGATACTTTCCTCGACGAAAGCAACGGCGTACACTGTACACTGAGTCCTTGGGAAGATGCAGATTTTGGTTCGACAATTCTGCTTCGGTGGTGTAACCGTGCGGCGCATAAGACAACACAAACAGACAGAGAATTAGTGAACAGTATGTCACACACACTCACATAAACTCTGAGACACACACAGACTCTCGGTCATTGATGTGTTATGAGCATCATTATAACCAGTATCCAATAAGACTGTCAAGAGTTTCTGGATTCAACGCTCAACAAAGTATCACGTCCCCTTCGTTACCAGAAGTTATCTGCCCGGCGCTGTCTGCGCTCATCATCAACAACGCGAATTGTGAAGTCCACGTAAGAACAAGTCCTCTCCACATATTCTCTTTGCTCTGTATCTCACAATGACAGAAGTCTTCACACCATGAAAACGTCAGTGTGTTCACAGCATGCATCGTCAACAACCAGAATGAGCACAAGTCTTTACTGTTATGAACTTGGTTGCCTGACGAATTTTATCGCCACTCACACACACACAATCTCACACATGCCCATACATGCATAAGAGAAGTGGAGAGAGGAGACAGAGTCCATACTGCACACAGATGAAAATAAGTAGCAGAAGACAGACATGCACAGGTGGGGAGAGGACACGCAGTGTTTCTCACTCTCTGACACAACTCCCAACAACCAATCACAAGAAGGAACCTGTGAAGATCACAATTGGAAAGGTCACTGATGATGAGCAACTCATACAGTTATTGTAACAGAGTTTGTTCCAGTATGTCGCCACACTCAGTACTCACACCCCACTCTCTATCCTACACCCAGTTAGTAGCGCTGCATCAGAACAGCCTCCCAGAGGCCAGCGCCAACCACCCTGATGAAGAACAGGTCCTGCGATAAAGTCTTCAGTGTCGATGGACAACTCTGACGAAGGAACAGGCAGCTAGGGCTGCCACCACCCAACGAACCACCACTGTAGAGCCTCGGTCCAGCCCGGCCAAAAGTGCTCACCCGGTGGGCCTATCCTATCTATCTACTCTCTAGACCTAGACCGGACTGACTGACCGACCGGTACCGTTGCTGCTTCGGCCTCTACCAGACCCGGCTATAGGCTATAGGACCGTATAGCAGCATAGGCCATGTAGGGCCTGTCTGTCGTAGGGGTAGCCCGGGCCTGCTATAGGCAGTTAGGGTAGCTGTACGAATTCGGTTAGTACCTGGCCTGTATTTTCCCGGATATAAAGATCTGTGCCTCACGAATTTCCTCACAGGCAGGTTGGCGGTTAGCCCTCAGCCAAATAAAGTTACGAATCTAACCCTACGGGTTACTGTACAGCACACAGCACACACACACAGCACACAGCACACACACAGCACACGCACACTACACTCATCACACAACACACACAGCACACACACAGCACACAGCACACAACACACACACTCACACACACAACTCACAGCACACACACACCACACACACACACTACACAACACACTATATAGCACACACACACACACACACTACACAACACACTACACAGCACTACAGCACACTACACAGCACACAACACACAACATAGTACAACACACTACACAACACACTACACAACACAACAGCAGACAACACACTACACAACACTACAGCACACAACACACTACAACACAACACACAGCACACTACACAGCACTACAGCACAGCACACAGCACGCAGCACACACACAACACTCACACACCACTCAACGCACAACACACACACACTACACAGCATACAGTTTGACAGTCACTCACACACACAGCTCACAGCACACACACAACACACACACACTACACAACACACACACACACTACACAACACACTACACAGCACACTATACACTACACAGCACACAGCACACTACACAACACACAGCACACTACACTACACAGCACACAACACACAGGAGTGAGCACACAACGTCGTTGAGTATTGAGTCAACACCGCACCTACACACTCATACACATTATATTTGTGTTTGTGCGAACCGGTCTCAGCGCAGTCTTCATTGTGTTCTTATTTGTGTGCCATGCTTTTCTTTGTTGGATTGCCTTTGCGTGACGCTCCTTTCCTCTTCGACGACCCCGCTGGAGTGTCACCGCCTTTGTGTGCTGCTGCTGTCTTCTCAGACACCCCCCTCCCCGCCTGCGTTTCCCTCGTGACCTGCCTTGCATCATTCATCTGCCGTAGCTTTTCCGCTCTCTTCTGCTCGTCGATAATGCCTTCATATTTGTATTCCCAGCGAGCCTTGGCCAAGTTATCAACCAGCCTCAGGTCCTTCAGCAGGATCGTCACCCTCTTGCAGTGGATAGCAATGATGTTTGTTCTCTCGAAATGGTTGATGAGATATGCTTCGGCCGCCTCTAGCAACGCACGTATGACGTTCATCTGAAACCTGATAGATTGCCCTAGTGCGATTTATTTCTCAACAATCTCGCGCACGACCCTCATGAACGGCCTCAAAGCGATGCACAAGTGAGTAGATCGCTGGAGTTGCCGAATTTCTGCCAATGCTGCCATCCCTGCGCGGCGCCTGGGCTTTTGAACCGGGGCAGCAGCTGCTTTGGAAGTCTGATCTCGATCTGTGACATCTTTTTGTTTGCCTTTTGCTTTTGTTGAACTCCCAGGTTCATGAGGTGGCCTAGATGTGCACTGCTTCTTCTTCTTCTCTGCCCTCCCTGTCACGTGCTCCGCAGGGGTGTCACCATCGTCGGGTTCTGCATTAAAACATCCCCCATCATTTGCTGTTTCCGGGCCATCGACCTGACTTGCCAAATGTGAAATGTCCTGCTGCTGCTCTGTTGTTGGTTGTCCATTCGATGCAGCACGAGCGTCGTCATCACCCACGTATTGAATGTGCCGCAGCAGTCCGTCT